CGGTGTTTTCTCCTCTGTCGTTTTTCCCCCTCCAGATCTCAAAATTTGAGGAATCTTTTGAGGGGTGATTAAAGAGAAGAGAGGATTAAGAGGGAGATATTTAAGAAGGGAATTTGTTACTATAGCTACAGTAATAAATTAGTATTTATTGAGAGATCTCAGTTTGAGATCTGCTCTAAGTCTATAATTTTTTGTTTGATTAATAAGAAATTTACTGTGTGGCTCCCGAGGACGTAGGCAGTTGCCGAACCTCGTTAAACTTGGTGTATTTTCTCTATTCCACGTTTCTGCTGTTTTAGGAGTTTCAGCGTAATTCCCAACAACGAAGACATCTATCCTTATATAGAATAGAATTAATACCAAGCATTTCGGATAGTCGAATATAATGCATGGAGTATGTCGGGATTGCTTGTGCTACCGCCTTCATGAGTACTTTTTTCTTGGGAAGACGAAGACATCTATCCTTATATAGAATAGAATTAATACCAAACATTTCGGATAGTCGAATATAATGCATGGAGTATGGGGGGATTGCTTGTGCTACCGCCTTCATGAGTACTTTTTTCTTGGGAAGAGGAAGACATCTATCCTTACATAGAATAGAATTAATACCAAGCATATATAGTATGTAAGGCATCTCTAGTATGGTTCGAAACATTTTTGCTACAGAACAATACCCTATTTATGAACATTTATATTAACTTAGAGATGTTAAATGGGTGGGTATGGGTTTTAAATGGGCGGGCCATAAATGGGCGGGCATGTTTTGCCCATTTACCCATTTATGGCCCATTTAACATTATTTAAATGGGCGGGGTTTTGCCCGCCCATTTAATAAACGGGTCGCCCATTTGCCCATTTAATTATAATAACTATATATGTATAATACTTTTGGGGTGTTTTTTATAAACTTTTAGGGGTTTTTTTGTAAACTATTGTGGGCTTATTGCAAAGATAAAAGTACAGACCTCACACATTTGCAAAATTAACCTCAAATTTCCAAACCAAAAACCAAAAGATCAATAACAACAAAATGCGATCTTTGGGAACCAGGGGACTAAAGATCAGCTAAATACACAATGAACTTATCAGATACGTAATCATATAACAAAATTATGATTTTACGAGAACATGAAACATGATAGTAAATACAGGAACCAAAGCCAAGAGACCTGTAGCCTTCGAAAAATTGTCAAAACAGCTGATCATTGCTTTCACATAACCAACATCTCCTTTACAAAATAGCAAGAGGTCATCAGCATAGCACAAATGAGTTATATTGGACCAAGGCAACAAAATGAAAATTGATATATGGCGGGTAATGCCAAGCCTTTTGTACTTGAGACTTGCTCAGTGGTTAATGTCAAGCCTTTTGTTGTGGGAATGCGATGTTTCGCCTCTTTGGCAACAGATCCTCTCACTTTTCTAGCAAGCCCTTGCTCTTTCAAATGCCCACGTTGCTACCAAATAAGAAAGAAACTAATCAATATGCGAAAAAATTTATAATCATAGAAAAAGGTCCAGAAATATGATCTACATTTAGATAGCTACTACTTCAGCAAGATGAGAAAAAATTAAGCAATACATGTTACTGTTCATGCATGTAGCTAGCAACCGACCATACATAATTAGCACGCAAATGCATGCATGCATGCACGTTGATATCACGGTACAAATTTATTTTTATGCGGGTTCTCTGAGCAGTCGTTGTCGATCTAACGAATAAAAACGACAAGTTACATGAGTCAGAAGTGAACGATATGGGACATTCATGCTCTCGAAAACCCCAAGCATGAGCAAGTTGTACTTGTGCAGTTCATTGATAATACATAGGCATTTTGCATGTTCGCACTTTTGTTCTCGTATCTAGGGGCAAAGTCAAGTGGCATCACCCTAAATCATATAATAAATTAAGTATATGTGAACTTACACAGTTAAGTGACACCTCCAAATTATTTGAATAGTGAGCAATGACCCGTTAACTCTTAATGGACCAAACCTAAAAATAAAGTGATCCTCAAACCCATTCACTTAAATGGGCCAATTTACGACATATCAAAGAGATACCATAAATGTTGAAAAAGAAAACAAAAGAAGAAGAAAAATAAAGAGATGTATAAGTTTACACTGAAGAGGATGTATTAACTAGTATTTCGAACAATTGCTATTATGCTAACGATTTCAAAACATGAAGATGTGGAGAGATCAGTTGTAATTGTATCTAGTTAAATATCTTTTGTATATACTGAATGTGAGAGAAAAATTAGTAATATCACCTTTTTACATTGAATGTGAGAAAAATTAGTAATATCATGTTTTTATATGTATTGTGACACCACTATTATGAATTTCTTGCTCCACCACTAACTATATCAAACCTCCAGCAGCATGCTAGCCAAAAGTTAAGCTTGCGCATTGAAATTTTGATATCCTAGAAGTAAGACTAATGTTCCAGTGACCAAATTACCTCTGTTTGAAGTCTGCAGGGAGAACCCTGTGCACTTTTAGTTCCTCGTTTGTTCATGGAGCTGGCCTTAGAGAACTTCAAAACATGAAGAAGAAAAGGTTAGTTTAATTATTAAAAAGGACACCCAAATGATGAGCTAAAAAGGAGAAGAAATTAAAGTGACAAAACCTTTGGAGAAGAGAAGCTACTGGGGTCCTCCATGTGAGGGGTGTTGGCAAGAGCTTTGCAAGGATGCAGGAATTTATTGAATGAAGAAAGCAGAGATGAAGCAAGTTGTTTTCAGTTCACAAATATTTCTCATTCGTTGATGCAACTCTCTACCAAACTTTCTGATACAAAATTAACATCAACCAGCAATTAATCATTCTAACAACCTCCATCTTTAAGCTCAGACTTAAACTCTTCTACTCTTAGAGATAAACCAATAGTCCTCGATCGAAGGTAGTTAGTACGTGCATATTGTCGAGCATCAACTCAAGCAACAAACTGATACCGACAAAAAGAAAATCTTATGACATATATATGCTTGGACAAACTGTAACAAACTCAATGGTGACAATTCTGATATGTGCATATTGAGGAAAATACTAAATGACGTCATCTCTGAAAGAAAATCATATCTGATATGTTAAATTGTAATGATAAATGTGACACTTACAGGTATTGAGCTCTCTGTCATTGTGTTTTTGTGGGGATTGGACTTATCATACCCTCAATTATGTATTACATCTAGAAATTACAAAATAGCATTGAAAAGGACTGCCAGCTCCTAAAAAAGAGCAAGAAAATTCTATACCCATCTCACAGTATTTATAGTGTCAGTCCACAAAACGATACATCCCATAAATTACATGATTTCCCCCAAAAGAGCATATGACAAACCAAAAACTGCGAAAAGACCTAATTTATTTATACTTCTAACTTTCAGAAAGAGATCCTAATTACTACCTTTACATAAGATTTGACTAATTTGATACAAAGTGTGCAGTTAGGAACTTATTAAATATTACATAGAACATTGCCATGTTCCAGAAAAGAGTTCAAATGTACAGCATAATATGTCCCACCATTACGCGATCACAATCAAGGAACAAAGTGAAAGGGACAAAAGAAATTCATACAATATATGATTGGAAAATGGTAACAAACCCGCAATTGTGACAATTCCAATATCTATGTCGTTGCATTTATGTAAGAAGTAGGTGTGACAATGCCCCTAGTTTAGTAAATATAAAGAAATATACTATATAACATTATATAGAACTACCAGGTTCTTGAAAGATATAATACAGTTGACGTACCTGTATAACTGGAATAATCCAATGTAACAAGGAAATATTTCGAGCTCTGTCATTAGATTTCATAAGGATTAAGTCATTTGTACCCTCATTTTATGTGTTAAGTTCAGAAAACTACCCAGCTGTATATGTTTTGCAAATAAAGTTGAGAGATATTTGCACTAATACCCAAAGTTTTACCCATTTTAACTTTGATAGTTTGAAGTTCTACTTTGACTTGATACCCCAAAGTGCAACAAAAGGATTGGTGTTTATGTTGTTCAAGATTTACATAGAAAAACAGAGAAAAACAAAGTTTCATACCGAAATTCAGTTTTTTAATTTCGGAGGAAATGAGGAACAAAGTTAGAGCTCTGGGATATGAAATTGTCAAATCAACGTTAGTTTGAAAACTTGGGGTTCATATTCTCTCAAAATAGAATTTCAGTGTATCAAAGTTAAAAACGGTGGACCTTTGGATATCAAAGTGCGAATAAGCCTAGCTAACATTTAAAGGTAATGAACTGGTTAAAGAAAAGAGCTAAAATATATGCATCACTTGTAGAAGGAAGCTACATCGAGTTAAGCACTTTCGGGCTTTTTTTTTTTTTGTTCAGGAGCTCCATGTTTATAGCTCTTAAGTCTTTTGTAATAATTTTGTGTTATATAACCTTTTGTACAGTGAGGGATGTCTCACTAATTGATGTATGCGCTCCCAAAATCTTCGGGAGGCATCATGTAACTTTCTAACTATTAATGAAGTTTTTATCAATGTTATCGATAGCAGATAGTGTCGCGTAGAGGTGAGGCATCGCTAAAGCTATTTGGGGTATTGTGACAAAATAGCGATAAAAGCGCAAAATAAAATAACGGTCTAACGTAGATATGTGTAAATACTAAAAAGAGATTAAAGAAAAATCTAAAAAACTAAAAGTGCATATTTGATGATTTAAAGAGACCCTAAACATGAAATAGACATGTAATCGTCACATAATACCAAAGATGATTGGAGGAGAAGTCAAAGAGTTGTCATCTTCGAGAAGATGAGCTGAGCGGTGAGAGGTGATAATATTATTTTTATAACAACTTTATACCCTCATTATCTATTTTACATGAATAAATATACCACTAATAATTGTTTTTATCTTTAATTACAGGTTAATAAAGAAACAATGAATAAAAGCCCAAAAGACTCTAATTTTCTCATTTTGTAACATTTTATTGAAGCCCAGAATCAAGCCGAGTAGCCTGTAGAAGTCAGAGAAAATCAAAAATCCAATACGAAAAGAAATTATATTCAAAATGGTTGGTCGCAAAGAAACAACGATATCTCCCAATCTGAAAGGTAAAATTTAACATATAAAATATAAAAATTGCCTATCTCGCGAGATGAAGCCATCGGTGAAATCAGATTTTTGATAGGAGCATCGATGCTGGCATCGATGCCAGGTTACTGTAGCACGTTCAATGGCTAATTTTGATTGCCTTATGGATAAGTATTGATCCAATGGCTCTCATTCATTGCTGTAGGCTATAAATAGGGGTAGATAGTGAGGGGTTGAGGGTGTAAAAATTTTTGTATCTTTATTTGAAGAGAAGGGTTACTCTTAATTGAGAAGACCTTCCAAATTTGTAACCTTTTGTTATAATTAATAAAATATTTTTTCAGCACTTCATATTTTTCTTCTCTTTGTTAGATGATGAAGATGAAGATGAAGATCAATTTGGAGGTTTGTTTTTATGTTCTCTTTTATTTCTTTTCTTATTGCTTAGTAGTTTAGATTTACATTAACGTCTTGTAGTGAAGATTTACTTTCATGCTTTTATTTTTTTTCATTTAATTCTTATAATTTATTGTGTAGTTTAGTTCTTACAATTTATTTTATAGTTTAGATTTTTATTTTCTTACACTATTCGTATTGAGGCTAGAACCCTCTTGGGATTGGTTTTTATTTTATTTTATTTTTATTTTCTTTGATTCACCTTGAGGCTAGAACCCTCTAGGGAATTGTCATTTTCTTAGATGCGGAATTAATTCTTATTAGAACTCTGAAAATTGCATGAAACTAGGTTTATTTCTCTTATGATTTGTTAATTATTCTCTCATGCTTAAATTGTTCATGCTTAGGATATTCAACTAAAGAACTAATTGGTAGAAGGAATTCTAGAATTACTATTTTGTTGTTATTATTTTCATGAGCAATAATTTTACTTAGATGATAATTTGATAGGTTATACTTCCCTTAAATGGTTTGATAATCTATACTTAATAAATATAAACTAGAATGTAAAAAGAGAATGATTCATATCTTATAAGTAAGATTAGCTAGTGGATTCAATTCTAGATTCATCATATCTTTAATTGAATCATATCCTCCATCTTGACTTTCTTAAATTTTCTTTTCATTCTTGATTTTTCTCTTATTTGTTTCTTGATTTTATTCTTCTTTCTTGCTTTGTTGATTATATTTATTCTTTATCACATCCACTCTCAATCACCTTTTATGCTTATTTACACATAATCACTCTCACTCCTCAAATCTCTCCACAATCACAATTTTCATCATTTCTAATTGTCACACACACAACATAAGAACCAATTCTAATTATTTTTTCAAGCACATTCCTCGTAGGATCGATAACTTTTTATACTATAACTTGATTAGTTGTGCACTTGCAACTTTTGGTACATATTTATGTCCCATCAAGTTTTAGCGTCGTTGCCGGAGAACGGTGTTTAAGTTGGATTTTAATTAATTTGGTTCTTTAACTTGTGTGTTTTCTTGTGAAGGAACTGCTTGGAGTTGAAGATTAAGGATTGAAGATCGAGAATTTGAAGAATTACTTGAGGTAACTATTCTTGAGGTAACTATTCTTTCTAGAATTTTCAATTCCACCCGTTAGTTACTTCTTCACAATTAGAGACAATTACGACTTAAAAAAAGATTTTATTTTTGTCGACCATAATAAAATCCACCCTCCACTTGGACATTTACTAACAAGATAATAAATTCAAATAATATTCCTCATTCTCACAATTGTTTGATTGTTAACCCTAATTAAAAAAAAGATTTTCTTTTTTACCATCCTTTTTAGTCGCTTTTAATTCCTAGGGTTGTATTGCATATAATAGTAGGAATCACCAAAGTGATTTGAGCATCTTGATTTAGCACACACTTGAAAATATTCTTAAGGGTAAAACCCCCTAATCAAGATAAGGTGAGCGATTTCATCACCCTTTTCAAAGCCCACAAATCACTAATTCCTCACTTCACAAACTCAAGCCTCCTAAAACTTATTAGACGTTGGCCCCTAAGAACTCGATCTCAATAAGAAACAAAAAATCCCTAAGTGAAACGGTTCAAGTCTTCTTGCATTAGTTGGTATCTAAGGCAATGTTTAGGAGTTACGTAAATCGTTCTGTAAGGAACGAGGTACTTAATTGATCTCTGATCACCCTCTAGTACTATCCTTACCTGGCTAACTGATTGAATAAAACTTTATCTCTTCACCTAAGAAATTTTTGGTTAGGAGCAGGTCTAGCTGAGTTAGGCTTTAACCCTAGAGTTTATAGTGATTGAAAAGTGATTATTATTTTTATTTGTTTTAATTAGGTTTTTTCTTTACCACCTTTTTCTTATCATAAAAAAACTAAATTTTATTTTTCTTTAAAAAATAAAAAATAAAGTATAAAAGAAATTGTTTTGGTGTATGCGAGCGTGGATTAGGGATAATACACATCGATTAATTCATTTTAAACCAATCATAGAAATGACGTATCCTAATTCACCTGTTCTTCAAGATATGTGCTATCCCACTAGGAATGCAATCCCATCTTGCATTAGGCTCACTGAGTCAAATGGAACTAACTTTGAGCTTCAACCGTATTATATAAACATGCTTCCTAAATTTCTGGAGAATGAAACTGAAGATGCTTATATTT